ATCTCTGTTTCCAAAGCAGGTGGACTTCCGTGGCAGGAGGTGACCCACACTTGGTTTCTAAGGTGTTGTCTTCAAAACCCTCTCAAGTTTTCTGTGGATGGGAGAACAGTAACCGTAATGGGGGCTGAACAGATGATGAAAAATGGCAGGCACAGAACCATGTTGTCTTGAAGTTTAAGCACAGAAATGTTGCCCAAAAGACAGCGGGTGCCATGAGGTTCCCATTCTCCTTAATTCTTGTGGCTGCAACTCCCGACGACTCTTTAGAAGATGCTTGAGAGCAAAGTTGGACTTTGTTGGAACACCTGAAGATTGCAAGATGTGAAGATGGAGCCCTGCTGTTTTTGGAGACCCCACTGGCTCAAAAAACATCTGGACTTCTGCAGGAATATGAACACACACACAGAGACCTCAAAAAAGTTCAGGAAAATAGGATTCTTTACGGATGGGAACTTCTCTGCCTGCATATTTTGCAGCTATGGATCTGAGATGGGTTAACCCTTGATCATTTACGGGGAACTAACGGTAGATATATTTCTGTTTTAAGACAAGGATTGGATAGGGGTGTCTGCTTTTTTTGACACCTGTCCAAAAAGAAATCGGGGAGGAAAAGTTGCTGACAGCAAGGCAGGCTGCGTCCCAGCAAACTCTGTTGCCCTTGCTCCAAATTGGCTTAAATGGCTTTAGCATCCAACAGGTGGTTCTTTGCGATCCGTGTTCAGATCAAACTTAATCTGGCGCCTAAACTGACCTTCTGTTTTCCTGAAAGAAAAGAGTTCACCTTGGTGGAAAAAAAAGAGAAAAACAGCATGGGTCTCTCAACATGACCAAGGAGCTCCGATTTTACGAGGGAAGCTCAAACTGGAGCAGAAAAAGGTGTTTTTCCAACGGCCAGGAGAACCTGCTTTGTAGTCATGTCCGAGAATCGTACGTTGGGAAGGGACCTTAGAGGCTTTATAGTCCAACCCCCATCTTCTTTTTAGCACCAGAAGAAAATTAAGTCTTCTGATGAACCTCTTTGTGGCTCCCTCTTTTCTACAGCATCTTTTATTCCCCCCTCCTTGACTCTGAAAATGTCAGCTTGGTCGTCCGAGGCTTCAGTTTTTCATCCAGTAATGAAACGCAGGCGAGGATCGTGTTTCTCCGACTCTTCCTCCTTCCTTGTTTGGGAACTCGATAGCCCCCCAGATTTCCCTTCTTTCTCCCCAGATGTAAATAAATCACCGGGCACCGGCGTCTGGCTTGAATTACCAAGGCGCGTTTTATGGCTCAGGAAATAATAGCGAGAGGTTGCAGGAGAAAGAGAAAAAAAATGAACCTGTTTGCGATTGCCGTCCGTGCGATGGTTTGGGTGTGAGCTTTGAAATCAGAGGTGAATGAAAAAAACCAGGGCGCCGTATGGATTCTGTCTTCCTTTCTCCTTTGTAGAATGTTTGAGGTTTTTAAAGATATATTTTAATTTTAGTTTTTTCTAGGAGCTGCTCTTGGGCTGACGATGCTGTTGGAAGTGATCAAGGATGCTTAACGCTGGCGTTGGTCTGCGATGCGTTTTTCCATCTTCCTTCAGCATCCGTGGCTGGCACATTTCCAAACTGGAAAATAATGACATTTTTCAAAACTCCTCTTTTTTCCTTGGGGGTTAATGGGTGGGTGGAAAAGCGAGGAAGCTGCAGAGCGGTGGGGAAACGAAAGAGGCACGCTGTGATTTCGGCTCCCCGCAGTTAAGAAAGGGTACCGAAATGTTCACTTTTGAAAATTGTGTCAAAAGTTGTTCAAAACTGGGAACTGGTTGTGCAAATGATACGTAGAAAAGAGTTTTGGCCCAACTGAAGGCGTGGCCCTTCCATTTCAGTAAATTGACGTGGGAAGGTACTGTTAAATTTTCCTTTTGATTATTATTTTGCTGGAGAGCATCGTCTTCGGGTATTGCTGTTGAGTTCACCTTCCTTGTTTGGGGTTGTGCAAAAAACTCCTAAATTGGGTCGAAAAGATCGATTCGTCTTTTAGCAAGACCCTCATCCTGCATTTTATTCAATGATTTAGGAAGAATAATAATAATTTATTAAACTTTTTTTAAACTCTCTCTGAGCGTTCTCTAAATAGGATGGAGAACCGGGGGCCCTGCGGATATCGTCGGACTACATCTCCCCTCGTTCACCTGTCGGGGCTGTGGCTGATGGGAGTTGTAGCTGCATCCTCCTGTAGACAGCATCCAAGGATTAAATCATGGAGGGGTTGAATTTTTGAGTGGCCTCAGAGATGCCCAACCAGACACAGCCCCGTGCAGCTCCATATTACCCCTTCGCCAGGAAAAAGTGGCGTAACGTCACGTGGGGGTCTCTTCTTTGCCAGAGAACCAGGAATGGTCTCCAGCGTCTGACTCTGGTTTATGCTAAGCGATGCTAAAGGGGCGTTTGGGGCACAGGCTGGAGGTTTGGGGTCGAAAGGAAGCATTAGGGAATTGTTGGGGCCGTCAGCGGTCAGGGTCCTGGATGTCTTGGGGCAGCACGTTTGGGCTCTTTAACGGCATCTGGGGTGACCTGTCCAAATTTTCTGTTGGTGCCTTTGGGGAGTGGAGCCTGTATATAGGAAAGGTGTTAATTAATCTGCCTTAGAGGTTTTGATGGAGAAACTGGACTTCTGGTTAGATCTGGTTTTTTAATGGTTGTGCTGTCCAGATATAAACCAGAAAAAAACTTCAATCTTTTTTCCTTTCTTTTCCTTCCCCTTTTGATGTCTTTCTTTCCTTCCTTCCCCTTCTCTCTCTCTCTCTCTCCTTCCTTCCCTTGCTTTTCCTTCCCTTTTCCCCTTTCTATGTCTCTCCCTCCTTCCCCTTTCCTACCCCTTTCCCTCCCCTTTCCCTCCCCTCCCCTTTCCTCTCCTCTCCTCTCCTCCCCTCCCCTCCCCTCCCCCTCGTATTTATTTCTTTTTCCTTTCCTTTTCTCTTCCTTCCTCTGCTTTCCCTCCCTCCTTTCTCCCCTCCCCCCATTTTGAAGACGTCGGGCAGTTTTCCAAGCGATTCAGTTTACAAATTGTTCAGCCTACACCAATGTGAGCAACCTCCACCGGGCTGGCATTGTGCTGAAACCAAATCAGATTAGCAAAGAGGCCCCAGAAAAGGCTTGTGAAGCGTGTCTGGCATTTTGGAGAGATACGCTGAGTCTAAAAATGGGGTTGGAGGGGAAGTGGGGGGCAGCTCTTCCAAAATAAGCTGCCTTGGGGCAAAACAGGGGTTCTCAGTGGAACATTTTAAAAAATGTTAAATACATCTTTGCAACGACCCCCGTGCATTGGGTTTGCCTCTGAAACTGCCAACAGGGCAACTATGTTATTATGCACCCAGGATTAAGGTGGGTGGGAACCTGTAACTTTTCTCAACTATCCTTTCCAACAACTCTCACATTTATCTCTCCTGAGCAGAACGGCCAGGAGTCACAGTTTGCAACCTCGAATCATAGACGATAAGAATTGGAAAGGATCTTGGAAGTGATCCAGCCCAACCCCCTGCCCAGGGCAGGAATGTTTTGCCTGTCACTGGGTGGGAAGAGGCTGGAGGGTGATGGGAAAATGTGGAACAGAAAAACACAATAACCATCCATTCTCCATCCATTAGCAGCCCCCTTCAATTCCAAGAGAAATTGCCCATGAGACGTTTTCAGCTCTTGAAAGAAGGGCAGCCAGGGAGTCTGGAGAGGGATGGGAAGACGTGGGGCAGAAAAACACGACAACCATCCATTTTCCAGCCATCTGCAGCTTCTTTGGCTTCCCTTTCATTTAATCCCAAGGGAAGTTGCCCATGAGACATTTTCAGCTCTTGAAAGAAGGGCAGCCAGGGAGTCTGGAGAGGGATGGGAAGACGTGGGGCAGAAAAACACGACAACCATCCATTTTCCAGCCATCTGCAGCTTCTTTGGCTTCCCTTTCATTTAATCCCAAGGGAAGTTGCCCATGAGACATTTTCAGCTCTTGAAAGAAGGGCAGCCAGGGAGTCTGGAGAGGGATGGGAAGATGTGGGGCAGAAAAACACGACAACCATCCATTTTCCAGCCATCTGCAGCTTCTTTGGCTTCCCTTTCATTTAATCCCAAGGGAAGTTGCCCATGAGACATTTTTAGCTCGTGAAAGAAGGGGAGCGAGG